CGGGGGCTCGCCCCTCCGCCCCGGGGGGTTCCCTGCAGGATGGCTCAGAGCCCAGCCTGGAGGATCAGAACCCAGGAACTGAGCTCTCTGAGGTTCGGGGCAGGAAGAAGAGTCCGCGGCTTTTCAGTTCCGCCCCTTCCTGCAGCTCAGGCTCAGGGCTTCACCTGGCAGCTGGGCCCTGGGACTGGCAGGGGCCAACAGGGGACACAGGCCATGGAACAGTGAGGTCTCACCAGTGAATAGCAGCTGCTCGGTGGTCTCATGTGCGCTTTGTCACCCTTCTAAGTGTTTTCTAGGGCCTTGGGAGGGAAGAAATCTGGAGCTCAGTGGAGGGGCAAAGTTTGCCTTTGGCTCAAAATCATTGGAATCCAGAAAACTCACTTTTCAGGCATGCCGCTTCTCCAGAAGTCCCTCCAACGCCTGAATTGTTCCAGCCTTTTCCCATCAGCCTGGAGCACCTAACACGTGCTTGGGTCATGGCGATAAATCTGACCGGCCTCTTCCCCAGAGAGGGTCCCAGAGTTACACTGAGGGAAGTAGCACCTGTGCAGCAGAGCCCTGGTGCCTGCTATCATTGTTAGCGGCGCTACTTATATTTTAGCTTGGAAAACACCCCTCCATAGGATATGTGATCAGTGCAATATGGGACTATTTATGGTCCTCCAAGTGCTAAGGCCTTGCTTCTCCAGGATGGTCCAGTGACCAAATTATTATCAATTGAATTACAGACCAAGAAAGAAAAAAAGGCTGTATGTCGGAGATGCAATGTTCTCATTATGAAGGGTCCCTGTGTTGTTCCCATTACCGCCTCGGGTCTTGTAGGAAAAAATTAGGGAGGACCACTTGTACTAAGTTAACTGATTTCTCAGAAACTTTGCATGTGTGCTAACATAACAACTAAAAGTATGACTACTGTTATCTGAACTACAGAACTGTCTGATCCACACTGATGTGTCCTATGAATGTTTAAATTGTAAAAGTGTATTATACTTCAAATGTTTTGCATTTATTGCTCACTTATTTCAGATAAGAAGGGTTGCATGGTAGAAAGATAGCAGAGACCTGAGGTTAGCCCTTGCATTGCCAATAACTGGCTGTGTGTGACTCTGCACTGAGCCTGGTTTCTTCATCTGTATCGTGAAGAGGAAGGAAGAAAGGGAAATGATTGCTGCGGGCCATGCAGCTTCACGGAAGGTCCTGTAGTTGACTCAGTACTTGCAAAGGTGGTCCTGATTGGGCCACATGTTAATCATCCGCTCAAATTGAAATGATCTAGAAAGGAGACATTTCAGAAATCTGCTTTAAGCAAATGTACTCTTAAACCAACTCACAGAAATCATGCACACACTAACATCATGTATGATGCATGAAGCAAACTTTTCTAATATGTATTACATAATATTAGTGCCGTAAATAGATATCATGCCATATACAGTCAATAATCAACACATTAAATAAATCTAGAATCTGTTTAGCATTAGTGCTATAAATCAAAATAAATATGACCAAGGATCTTACCCTGGAGGGGAGAGACAGGACAGAAATATGTGGAAGAGTTCATGAAAAATACCAACCTCCTGGGAGAACAGGAGGTAGAATCTCATCCCCACACAGGCTGGTTACAGATGGTTCACTCTGATATTGTGAAGAGTCTTCACAATAGAACCCCAGACTTACCTTGAACTCCAACTCCACTGTAAATCAGACAGCTCAGCATTCCCCAATCACCATTTCCTACTTATATTCTTTACTTGCCTAGAATTCTTCAAGACCCACACTTCAAGTGGAACCTTCCTTCCAGATCCCCAGGCTAGGCACCCCCGCTTGTTTCAGTTCCTTAATCCACCCCATCCAGTTCTCTGAAATACAGATTCCACCTGCTCTATCACTAACCCCTTTCAGTTCTCTTTAGCCCAGTTTTGACTTCCTACTAATGTATGCCACATAATTTCTTTACACAGTATTTCTTCTCTAAAAACTATCATGTGTGCTAATCATTTCAAGAATATAAACTTCTCCACAATCATAATGTACAACTATCTCCATAGAAGATAGTTGTAGATGTTAGGCCCCTTGGATTATGTGTGCGTTCTCTTCCAACCACTTGCGCAAGTTTTGTGAGTGGAGGGTGGGAGGAATGCCCCAATCAGGAGTAGTTGAGGAGGAATATAGGATGGGCAGATAAATGTTAAAAAGAAGATCTATACTGAAACTCTGCATCCTTTTTGAAAATACAAATATCAAAACGTGGACTTCAGGATATTCAGTGCATTTTCCTTCAAAACAGAGAAACATGCCTGGCCAGTATAGCTCAGTGGTTGAGCATCAAGCTAGGAACCAGGAGATCATGATTTGATTCCTAGTCAGGGCACATGCCCAGGTTGCAGGCTCAATCCCCAGTGTGGGGAATGCAGGAGGCTGCCAATCAATGTCTCTCTCATCATTGGTGTTTCTACCTTTCTCTCCCTCTCCCTTCCTCTCTGAAATCAATAAAATATATATTTAAAACACACACACACAGAGAAAACACACTTGTAAAAAAAAAATGCTTCTCATGCACTGGCTAGGTGGCTTGGTTTGAGCATTGGCCCATGCAGGTTTGATTCTCAGGTAGGGCACATACCTAGGTTTCAGGTTCGATCCCTTATCGGGGTGGGTATAGGAGGTAACTGATCAATGTTTCTCTCTCTCTCTCTCTCTCTCTCTCTCTCTCTCTCTCTCTCCATATATATATATCACCAATAAAAACATGTCTTCAGATGAGGATTTTTAAAAATGCTATTTATCACCTGGCACATGTGAAGTATATTAGAAATAATTAAAGGTTACAATATAATTCTAAGGATTATATCAAAATGATAATAGCATACTCAATTATTTAAGGGATCATTATTAACTTGAAATCTAATAATATTCTACTCTTCCTCTCCTGTGTTTCTCTGATCATTAATATCTAACTAAATTAAAGTCTGTCAAATGCTTAACATACTTTTTGAAATCACTTTTGAGGTTCCATGATCCAGGCAATTTTTTATTCCTCTGTGAAACATGAGGTGGATTCCTATACAGGCTCACCCACAGGGAGAGTATACCCTGCTTATGCCAATTGGAATAATGAATAAATTGCATTCTGGTTTTATGTGGGAAAAAATGGTCTTTATGAATTACATGGAAAAAATTTTAAAAGTAGTCATATGGGAGTAAATTGGCAAAAATGTCCTCAAGAGAGGAAATTACATTCAGAAGAAACTTGACTTGGAAAGGCCCGGAGTGCTCATCTGCCACTGGTGAGTTCCACTTATTCTAAATGCCTTTCACGGTGTTTCTGATCAGCCAGCACTAGTCCTGGGTTGGTGAGCTGCTAATGAGAGGCCCAGAGTACTGCACAGAGTGGGGTGGTGGTGAAGGGCTTGAATTACTAAAAATTCTTCTTTAAAGTGACCTAAAATCCAGTTCCTTTGAGATTTGCCCTCTGGACTGATTGTAAAGAACTCTCTGCGTTCTGTAAGGAATTATGTTGTGGTTAAAACTGCAAGCTTCAGAGTCACAGAGTGTAAAAAGGAATCATAAATCTGCTGCTTCCTAACTTGGTGACTTGGGGAAAGTCACCCAACCTCTCTGAGACTAGCAACATCTGAAATGTGTAGAAATAGGACACGCGGTTGCTATAAGGATTATGTGAAAATTAAAGCAGGTAGCCCAGTGTCTAGCACAGTATACATGCATGTTTTATAAATAGTATCTATGTAATAACATTCTCTGAGTGGTGCGCTCTCAGTCCCTTCAGCTGTGCCATGTGGCATGACTGATCCCTGGAGTCAATCACACTGGAGTTTGGTGATGCCCATTTTAGGAGCCGTAACTGAACACTGGGCCCTAAACAAGGTCAGACCATCAGGCTACAGAGTGGTCCAGATGGCACAGGCATCGAAGGCCCTAGGCAAGCAGGCGAGCTGGTGGGAGGAGGAGCCTGCCTGGAGCAGAGTGAAGGAAAGGCTGGAAGTCCGGAAGCCATAGGCACGACTGAAGGGGTGCTGAGCGTGGACGCATAGCAAGTCAGAAGGCAGCAGCACACAGCGAGAGAGACAAACGCCTAGCTCTTAACTCCCAGAAAGGCCAGAGGAGCTGTGAAAGGTGGGTGTACAGGCCTGGCAGTCTTAGGGCAAAATTGTCCAAGTGACCTTAAAAGCAGGATGTATGAGCTGGGAGACCTGGGGTAGAGGTGAGGGCGAAGCTGTCAGTATCATCCAATCATTTATTGATTTTTTTTCTTGTGCTGGGCACAGAATAAAGTTTTAATCAAAACAACTTTAAAAGTGTAAAACTCTATACTTTATTTCTGACCATAAAGGAGCCAATAATAATAATGATAATAATAATTTAATACCTTTTACTTCCAAAGCATAGCACTATTTTTAAAATTTCAAAAATAAATAAAAATTTCATTGATTCTCTAGAGCTCCATTGTCCATCGGGTAGCCTCTGGTCACATTTGGTGATTTGAGTTTAATTAACTTGCAAAATTTAGCTCAGCAGTCACACTGGGCACCTTCCAAGCGTCCAATGGCTGCCGTGGCTGTTGGCGACTGTGCTGCTCCGCAAGGAGAGAGGACGTTCCTATCACCACAGGAAGCCCTGCTGGACGGGGGTGCTGGAGAGGGGCAGTCTCTGCAAGTTATGACCCTCCTGGGTCGCCCATCATTCCATGAACAGCAATTGCTTAATTATTGCACATTGGACCTGATTTAAAGCAAGTGCCCCAAAAATACGGAGTGAAAGGGACCCACATAAAAGCAGGCCTTGTAGCCAAATATTCGTCTTTTTTCCTCTGGTGTCCAGTCATCTTATTCATAGGCTGTCACAGGGGAAAAGAAACAGGAGACAGTGGGTGTGTTCTCTCAATGACATGATAAACTTCCAGGAGAAAAAGAGCAGACGGAAAAGGACGCACCTCGTGGTGTCTTAGAGGAGTGGAACTTTTCTGTTGTGAGGTAAAGTCTAGTGACTTTTGGTTGTGAATACTCTCTACACTTACCTCTAAAGAAGAAAAAGAATGATTTTTAATTGGAATCAAGAGGAGCAGAATTATAGGCTTTCTGATGAAAAGCATGGCCACCATGAAGTCTGTCGTGTGGCTTGCCATTTCAAAGCACTCAAAGATTTTGACACTGATTTTTCTCTTTGAGGTTATTTCTGAAAAATGTAACTTAAAAACGGTTAAAAAATAAATGAAATAAAAATAAAAATGATTTTCAGCAAGTGTTCAACATTACATTTTAGTTAAAGGTAGTGAAATTCTCTGTCTTTAAAACTGCTTTCATATGCTCATGGAAAGTTAGAACTAGAAGGAACCTATTTCCTTAGACCCAGATAGAAGGCCTGCTTTCCAGTGTTTTTTTCCAACTATTTTTAGATATAGCACCCTTTGTTCAAATAAAATGTCATCTAGAATCAGGACATAGAGATAGAGGGAGAGGGAGAGTGAGCACACACGTGCGTGCACACACAGCTGTTGTGTGGTTGAAGCTTGGTGATAGGAGGCCCAGATCTTCCACCCCCATTAACCCCCATAGCTGCCTTTAAGTGACCCTGTAGGACATGATTGTAAATCACTGGTTTCTTCCAGCCTCCGTTTTAGAGATGGAGACACAGAGACACCGAGGTCCAGAGGTTTAGATAACTTGTCCCAGCCCATGACTAAGTGGAGAGCAGGGAATTCCAACTCAGGTTTCTCCCAGAGGTCTTTCCAGAATACCCTGAGATGTAGCCGAGGGTCCAAACCAAAGCAGCCCTAGTCAGCAGAATGCATTGCTTCCTGAGAGCAGACAGGTCGGCCTGAGAAATGAAGGCAGCTTGTGAGCTCAGTGAAGGAAGCCTGAAGTGACAGGGCAATGCATGTTATAATGGTCAGACAAACAGGTTAATTCTGCTTCACAAAAAAGGAACCATCTCGAAGGCTAATTACTAACATTTATAAAGGACTAGAGGCCCAAAGCAGCTGTGGCTTCATCCCGAAGGTCGTCTGAAGGTCGTCCAGTCTAGCATATTATGCTTTTATTATTATAGATTCTCTGCCCAGTCACTCCTGCAAAGACAACTTGATACAGTGCAAGAAACACGGTCCTGAGAACAGATAGATTAATATGAATCCTGCTTGTAATACTTTCTTCATCTATGAAACAGGAATAATATTTGTTAAGAAGGTAGTTGTCTGTATTCAATTATTAATTTTATATATACATATATACATACATTAGAACAATAAATACTGACTTCTTCCCACTTTCCTAACAACTTTGTCATAGCATAAAATACAACTTTTTTCTAACAATTATATAGAGAAATTGTTTTTCTAGTATGTTTTCAAAAAGAATGTACTACCAAGAGACTAATTGGCATGTTATCTAACAAGATGTATTTCTTTGTTTTCTGTGAAGCCTGCATTATTTCAGGTGGAAAAGCAAACCCCACGATGGGAATAGAGTAGATAAAAATGTAATGGTTTCGAGAGCTGTTATTACTTTGCTCCTTTCTCTAGTAATTTATCTGAACATGGAGAACTGTTTGAGTTCTAAATCCCACAAACCAGATCCAGCAAGACCAGAGGAAGGAAATCACACACACACACACACACACACACACACACACACACACACACAGTAGACACATACACACACACACACACTCAAACTCCACAAAAGCCCTTATTCTTCTTCATAGTCTTTTTTTTCCATTGCTATAGTTGTCAGTACTAACAAACCAACATCCAGAGGAAAATCATCTGTAAGGTTTTTCACTTCATCCTTGCTAGTTAGGTACTAGTTGAGATACACTACAGCATCAGTTAGCATCATTCTCATTTGATCCAATAGTGATAAAAATAACTGACATGTAATTACATAGCAGGCCCATTGTACTCCCATTACTGTATTGATTCACCACGTAAGATAAAAACAAACCAACTTTGTTATTTACTTAAAATTGTTAAAATTTACCTTATCAGTTTTCAAAGTCACTTATGTAAACATTATACTACACAAGCACAACCTCGCAGCTGGAATGCACCAGAGGCCAATACCCCTTATATTACAGAGTTAACTGAATTCTGCAAATCAAGACTCTCAGTGTTGCATTTCCATCTAAGGTAATGACTGAGGAGTGAAAATATAGTACAAGTCCCAAAGGGATTTGTTCTATGTTTAGTCATTCAGGGAATTCATAATGACTAAAATTGACTATATTTCAGAAGATGGCAAAAGTATATTTGAATAATAAGATAATATCAATAATAAATGATAATATAGGCCTGCAAGTTTCAAAGAACTTCATGAATGTTTAAAATGCTTATTAATTTATTTCAGACTGATCAGCTTTTCTTCCTTATTACTCTGTTTTTTCACAAAGAATAGGGAAATAGGCTGTCAGAGAAAGACGAATATCACATGATCTCACTTATATATGGAACCTAAAGAACAAAATAAACTGACAAGAAAAATAGGACCACAGACATGGACGCATGAAACAGACTGACAATCTAAGAAGGAAGCGGGGAGGAGGGTGGGAAGCGATGATCAAAGACTTTATATACATATATGCATAACCCACGGCCACAGACAAAGGTGAGTTGAAGGCCTGGTGTCGTG